GTCATCATGCAGTCGTAACCTACGTTCCCGAGCCAGCACGCAGGATCTATTTGGAGTGCGTGTGTGGCGCCATGCATGTCGTGATTCAAGTTTCTCGTCCCGTCAGCAATCAGCCGCTATCCCGCCTTGAGCTCTGTGCTAGCCCCGTCATTTCAGGGGGAGATGTGCTAGCCCCGTCATTTCAGGGGGAGAGGTGCTCCTCCTCCTCCTCCTCCTCCTCCTCCTCCTCCGCGTTGTCCTCCTCGTTCTCCGTCCCCTTCCTCCTTCCACCTCCTCCTCCTCCTCATTCTTCTCCTCCTCAACCTCCTCCTCCTCCTCCTCCTCCTCCTCCTCCTCCTCTCCGTAGCCGTTTTGGCTCAAGTTCGATACAATCTCCCTGGCGCTTCGAGCTTGGTCGCTGCCGAGGGGAGGTTCAGGCCAGCATTCGAGAGCAGGCCTCAGACACAAAACGTGCTGCCTGCACGCCCTGTTTGTGCACTTGGAGCCACCAGAGTCCCCTCTCTCCGAAATGCAATTACGACGGTGAAGGGTGGACATCAAGCCAGCCGCAGTGTGAGCCGTCATGTTCGCAAAGATCGCACCCCCCAAGGCCAAACGTCGCACATCATCGAGCCGCCCGAGCCATTCCAGAGGCAAGCGCAGCCGGGAGCGCTAGCCTGCCCGGGGGGCAGCCTTTGGGCCTCCGGATTTTGGAAGGCAGCGAAGCCGCGATGATGGGCGGCATGGCGGTTCCGACCTCGTCATTGGTTGACCCGCTCAAACAATCAGGGCGCGTCGTCTTTGATCGAGCCAGGTTTTCTGCTAGCAAGGTTCCATCCGCTCCTCCGTCTCACGCTGCGGCGCAGTGTGGCTGCAGTGGTGTGCAGTTCTCGCAGGTGGAGGCATCATGTTGGTGGCTCGTCTGGTGGGGGGAAAAACAACGATTTTCTGCTAGCAAGGTTGCCATGGGGGTCGAGCTGGAAGCTTCGCTCAAGGACGCGGGGGCGCCCGTCGAGCGCCCGATCGCAGCTGCCGACCCGAGACTGGGTGCCATGTGGTGCTCGCGGGTGGCGTGGGCCCACGCTCCTCTCCAGGATGAGCCAAGGCACGCGCGCCCTATGTCAGGAGGGAAAGAAACACACAGACACAATTAATCGGCGATTCCCGAGAAAATATGGGAAAATATGGGAAGTGGGGGGGGAGACAGAAACCCCGAAAATATGGAAACATATGGGGAATCCTTTTATTTGTGTGTATTTATTTGTGTGTCCCAGGGCCCCTTCACTATGGGAAACTCCAGGAGTTTCAGGAGGATCTGCGGCAGTCGCTTTGCCGCTCGTGGGCATGGGGCCACCGGGTGTTTTCCGCCAGGCTACGCATGGCCATCGGGCATGTGGCGCCCACCCCTCGGGCGCGCTGCAGCTCCGACGTCGAGCGGGCGCGGCGATCGCTGGGCGCGAGCGAGGGCGATGTTTTCAGGTTGTTTTTCGAGCCACATTGGGGCAGGCTGGCCCATGTGTCGCCGTGCTTAGGCAAGTGATCTCGGAATAGGTCAGATCGTGGATTTCGGCGCCGATCTTCCCGCCCGCGCATGCGACGGGTGCGATTGCCGTCGCGAAGGCCCAGTGGGCTGGCATCGAAGGACTTCTGGCGGCCTTGCAGGCTGCCCTCCTGCAGGCGGGGTGGGCTCCAGATGCGGCCGGCGCTTGGCGCGGCTGTGGGCCCCGTTGGCTGAGTGATTGAACCTTTCCTAGTGTGGGTGGCCTCATTTTTGCCGACAATTCAGCGCGGATGTCGCGCGCTGAGGATGAGAGGCAGCGGGCCGCCGTCCGCGCGGGGGCGCCCTCGAGCCGGGTGCCGACGCGCAGTTGGCACCTGCAGAACGGAAGGCCTTCTCGACGAAGGGCTCCCTTGACCTTCGGGGCGCCGCGTTCGCGGTGGTCTAGGTCGGACAATGGCCTCGGGGCCTCGAGGTCGAGGCGGGGCGCGATGCTGGCCCGATGTGTTCTCGCTGCGAGAAATGCCGCGATGCGTTGCGTCGGCGTGTCTGTGGGCGCGGGAGACATTGTTGCATGATGGTGACGATGATGATGCCTCAACTGGCTGCTTAAGTCCCGCAGCCCTTGCGTGCGCTGGTGCTGGCCCCAGTTTGCATCTGGGAGGGGCCCCCTCGTCTGCTTGCGCGGTGCCTTGTTTTCGGGGGGCCCCAAGCCTTGGCGTTCATATCTTTCCATAGCCTTGCCCTCTCCTGGACCTCCTGGGGGGTCGGCCGCACCGTTGGTTTGGTGGTGGGTGAAAGGGCCGGCGCGCCTCTGACAGGCGCGGGTGCCGATGCGGCGCGGCTGCGTTTCCATGTTCTTGGAGGCTGCCGGCCCCGCGCAGGGCCCGTCTTGGAAGTCGAAGTGAGGTCTGGCGGGCGCCCTCGCGGGCGCGATTCAGACAGTCCTCAGGTCGAAATTTATCGCGCTGGCGTTGGTTCGTGAACGCGCCGCGGGCCCCGTGCCCGGCGCGGGCGGATGGGGGCCCCGACGCCCCTGGCACCCCCCCGGGCCGAAATTCTGACTTCCGAGCCAGGTTTCGGATTGCCGCTGAAAAGCGCGGCCCCGGGGGATCCCATGCGCTTTGGGCGCGATCTCACCTTGGAGAGGAGTCAGGGTTCAACGCGTCTTCTTTTCGAAGCTTTCTCTCGCATGGCAACGCTGCTGCTGGCGAGCGGCTGGGAGTGGGCGGGTCGGAGGCGGCGGGATCTCCCAGTTGTTCAGGCTGATCCGTTCGCGGACAGAGTTGCTCGGGGGCGGAAAAGAGGGGGGTGATGACTAGGGGGGGTGGATATCATGGCGGGGGCCATGATATTTCCCCAGATTTTATGGCGCCTCTTCTTATTTTATTACGTCCCTGGCCCCCCCGCTGGGCCGCGCACATGCCGCCGGTCATGATTTGCACCCCCCCCTCTTGGACAACCCCCTCTTGGCCGCTCCCGAGTTGCGCTGCTCGCGCGGCGTCGTGCGAGGGCCATGGTTGATTCCTTGGATGGCGTCCGAGGGCGCGAAAGCTCTGGAGGCCTCGCGGCGGCATTTTCGGGCGAAGTGCTCTGACCGTTGGCGCTGCAGCATATGTAATATTATCGGCGGTCGCGCTGACTTGCTTCGTTTTGCAGCCGCGCCTTGTCAGCCTGAGTTTCGAGGGGCCCAGGCGATGGATGCCCCTGGACTCTCTCAGGTGTCCCCTCCTTTGCTTCCAGGTTTGCGGGTGGCGGTTGCCGGGCGTTGGTGGGGCCCGTTGAAATTGCAGGCGTTGTCTTGCGCCGTTCTCCCTGTCGCTCTCTCTGTGTCGGTCCTGCATGGGATGAAGTTTTGCAGCGCTCGTGGATTTGCTGCTGCTGTTGATGGGCGGCAGCTTTCTCGGTCATGCGCGAAGTCCACCTAGAAATGCCTGGATAATTTGAGCAGGATCATGGCCGGCAAAACTCCTGCGCGCAGAGGCCCCCCCCTCCAAAAATTGTTGATGAAGCGCAGATGGCAGTGTCCAGCCAAGTTTTCGGTGGGGGGGGGCACGGGGTCTGATCCCGTGCCAGCCCAGCTTGACGATTGTCTTCGCTACCCTGTTTTTCCCTGGTCTGGATTTGGGAGCCAAGGACAGTGCGCTTCGGGGGCTGGCGGCCTGCCTTTGGGGCCTTTTTCTGGCGCCTGTCTTGGTCCTGGTCATTCCTTGGCGTTTGGGCCCAGGAATGCGGGATATAATTCGGGTGGAGCTGCGGCATTGGGCGTGCGCCCAATGGGGAGGGAGGCTTTCGATGATGCTGGGCCATCTGAGTCGAGGCTTGGAGGGGCGGGGGGAGGGTTGTATTGCGGTCTGCGCAATGCGCCCTCGCTCGCGACCGCCCACCCCCCGCCGCCGCCCGACGTTTACGACCCCCCTGCTACCAGGACCGCCCTTCTGGGATCGGGGAGGGCCCGAACCTCCTCCTTCTTCTCCGGCTCCTCCGGTCATCCTTTCTCCCACCACGCACGTTGTGATTGTAGTTCGCCTCCTCGTCCTATTTTTCTTCCTCCTCCTCCTCCTCCTACTTGTCTTCTTCCTCCTTTTCCTCCTCCTGCTCCTCCTTTCTCACTTTCTATCCCTTCCTCTGGCGCGCGCGGGGCCGAGTGCTTGGTGCGGTCCCCTGGCGGTGGCCAGCCGCCGCGTGTATTGGGCAGCGAGGGGCGGGTGTCGGGGATCGAGTCGCCTGTGCGCCTTGACGCGTCGAGTGCGAGGCGCAGCTCCGCTCAGGGCGCGACCGTACTTTCCGTGGTGTCTGAACAACGGCATCTTATCTGAGCAACGGCAGTCTGTGGTTCACTCGTTCAGTTTTCCGACTACAGCATCTCATCTTTCATAAACTCACTGGCGACAGCACCATCTGAATGCTGCGGCCCTTCCACACTTCCCTCTTGGGGCGCGTTTTTGCGCGATACAGACGTTTCGTTCGTTCATTCGTTCAGGTCGGAAAAACCTGAAAAACTTTCGCATTTTTTCCTGGGGTGCACGGGCAAGAGATGAGACTCCTCCCGTTCTACCATCGCCGGGGATCGGGGGCACCGCCGCCGCGCAGGAACCCGTATTGTTCTCCAGTCGTCTCTCGATCTTGACGAGTCTTCGTCAGACGGGACGCGCGAGGGCACGAGGGATTTTGCCGACAGGACCAGTGACCCAGGGGTTTTGCTCCGTCGGCGCCCTGTCAGATGCATCCTGGTCGCCGGCGCTTCCCCCGACAGCGGTCAGACCGCGCCATGGAAAAAGGGCAAGGATGTTCCAACGGTGCTCCTGCGTCCTTGCCTCTTGGGCCGCTGCGTAGCCTCTTCGGCGCGTCCGGCTCCGCTCAAAAAGTTCAGCTTGGGCGTCCAGTGCCCTTGCGTCCTCACCGCGCGTCCTTGTCGTCGGGCCTCGTGGCGGCGTGGCGGTGAGGGCGATTTGCGCCGCGGCAGTGCTCGGGACAGGTAAGCTACGCCTTGGTTACAGGGGCGAGATATACCAAGCAGAAGGACCGCCTCTTGCTCCTGCTCCGCATCTTGCCGGAGGAGGGGATGCAGGAATAGAAGGAGAGAAAGAGAGAGAGAGAGAGCGAGAGAGGGGGAGAGAGAGAGAGAGAAAGAGAGAGAGAGAGTCATCTTGTTTCATTACTATTAAGACTCATCGTCATACACCCACGACGCAGAATAAGAAAGTTGATTTTTCAGTTTAGCCCCTGCCAATTTCTTATGCCGCGGCCATGTTCAGCGCGCCAGGGGCTGCCACTTTCTTACAGGCCAACTTTCTTAAATCGTAGGCGGCGGCGCCTGGCGGCCCAGCATAATGATTATAGTAGTGAGTGGTAAAGAAAGGAACATAGAGGCCGCCTGTAGGCCCCTGGAGGCCACCAAGAGGCTCCCACGAAGCCCCAGAGACCACCAAGGGGCTCCCAGGGAACGCCCAAGAGGCCCCCCAACACACCCCAAGAAATCATGTCCCCAGAAAACCTTCCGGGGACATTGTTCATCATGGGCCCGAGAGTTCCCGGAGGCCCCTAAGGGGCCCCCAGGGAACGCCCAAGAGACCCCCCAACACACCCCATGTCCCCAGAAAGCCTTCCGGGGACATGGTTCATCATGGGCCCGCGAGTCTCGGGAGGCTTCGAAGTACCATCATGCTACAGGAGAGCTGTCTGGGAAGTTGATTGGGAACATGACTGATCGCCTTCTCGCGGCCCTCCTCAGATCGTTTCGCACAAAGTTGCCCCAAGTGCCCTCTTGAATCGACGGCGACGACGACGAAACGACGAAGACGACGACGACGACGACGACGACAACGACGACGACGACGATGACGACGGCGCGGCCGAATAGGCGACGACGACGACGACGACGACGACGACGACGACGACGACGACGGCACGCCCCAATAGGCTCCCCAAGACGCCCCAAACCCATGCTCCCAGAAGGCCTTCTGGGAACCCGATTCATACAGCCTCCGCCCCCCTACACAACCATCTTCCTCGAAGGCCTTTCGGAATGCAGATTGGCTTGCGTGGACTGTGGTCCACTAATTCGTCAAGACCTGAGGCCTGCTACAACCTGAGCGCGCGCGATGGTTCTAGTATATATATATATTCTCATACGCACCTCTCCGAGGGAGTAGAGCTCAGAGGCGATTAATGCGCACGCGTCCGCGATTTGTCTGAGCGTTTCGCTCGGGACATCCTCGAAATTCTGAAAATCGGTGGCACCCCTCACGCAGATCGTGACGTCAGGGTCCAAAAACACATGGGAATTTCAACATTTTAACATACAACCTTCAAAAACACATGGTAATTTCAATTATTGTGACCCCGATTCTCAGGGAATGGCGGTTTCGCTTGAAAAATCCTTCCAAAATCGAGCCCCAGACCCCGCCTCGGAGCCTCCTGGGGGCTTCCTGGAACCTCCTGGGGCCTCCTGGGGCTTTCTGAACCTTCTGGCACCCCAGACCCCGCCTCGGAGCCTCCTGGGGGTCTCCTGAAACCTCCTGGGGCCTCCTGGGGCCTCCTGCGGCCTCCTGGAGCCTCTTGGGGCCTCCTGAAGCCTCCTGGGGTCTCCTGGGGCCTCCTGAGGCCGCCTGGGGCTTCCTGGGGCCTCCTGGGGCTTCAGAACTACATGCACACAGAGACACAAATCACGCCCAACACATCACACGCTAGACAAACATACACACACACACAACACCTACAACACACAAAAAGCACGCACCACACAAAGCATACATCACACACACACACACACGCACAACACTCACAATCCTGGGGCCTCCTGGAGCCTCTTCTGGTATCCAAGTCGGGCCTCCTGAGGCTTCCTGGGGGGTCCTGGTACACACATCGCAAGGTGTGGCAACCCCACTTGCGCTCGAGTGCGACTTCGATGTTGCATTTCACTCCTGCTTCAAACGCCCCTTCAGGTTTTTGTATGAGCCTGGGCACACACGTGCCACTTGTGTGTGTATATATATATATATATATATATATGGGTGGCGGCACCCTATCGGGCGATACCGATAGGAGATCGCCAACCTTTGAACTTCATACGCCTCCAGATCTCTTAGAACATATGTTGCAGCATCGCAGTTTCGTCAGACCACCTACTCACAAACCTGTAACTCACGCCATCCTACGAGATCATCTGATCGACCGGAGACCGGAGACCGGAGATCCCTCCAGGACTCATCTCCGGTCGACCGGAGACCGGAGACCGGAGATCCTTCCAGGACTCATCTCCGGTCGACCGGAGACCGGAGACCGGAGATTCCTCCAGGACTCATCTCCGGTCGACCGGAGACCGGAGACCGGAGATCTTCTGAGGACTCATCTCCGGTCGACCGGAGACCGGAGACCGGAGATCGTCTGAGGACTGATCTCCGGTCGACCGGAGACCGGAGACCGGAGACCGGAGATCGTCTGAGGACTGATCTCCGGTCGACCGGAGATGAGTCCTGGAGAGATCTCCGGTCTCCGGTCTCCGGTCGACCGGAGATGAGTCCTGGAGGGATCTCCGGTCTCCGGTCGACCGGAGATGAGTCTTGGAGGGATCTCCGGTCTCCGGTCTCCAGTCGACCGGAGATGAGTCCTGGAGGCATCTCCGGTCTCCGGTCGACTGGAGATGAGTCCTGGAGGAATCTCCGGTCTCCGGTCGACCGGAGATGAGTCTTGGAGGGATCTCCGGTCTCCGGTCGACCGGAGATGAATCACCGAAGGCTCATTGATCGATGGGAGAAATGGTCCGAAAGACGATTCTAATCAACGTCCGTCAGATAGGGGACTGGCATCTTCTTACCATTACTCGGCTCATTTTCGTATCTTCGCCACGCTTGCTCAAACGAACAGCCGATCAGAGTCGAGATCCACGTGGCCACCATGCCATTGTCTGCGGACGAACGCCTTGCTGAGCTGCGCCGTCTGGATGATGGCGAGTCTCGCCTCGTTACCCTGACGGCCGCCCAATGCTTGCGCCTGAGCTGGCAATGTGATCGGATCTTGCCAGATCGCGCAGCTGATCGCCCCTAGAGCTATCGAGTGTGATCCCGGTCATGCTCCGAGTGCTTTTCCTTTCCAGTCTCAGCTATATCTCGAATTCTGCTCGATCGGGTTTTCGATCTTCCGCCATCTCACCATCCGAGATAAGTGACGTCTGCGATCGAAAAATGCTCCCGGCAGTCGGCCAGACAACCAAGGCAAGATGGTGAACCCTGAAGACGTGGCGGTCGCGCTTGAGATGGAGGACTTCCTTTTCCGCCCGGTCGACCAGGTCGCCCACATGCAGAACATGCTCGACGTGGTGATGTCGTGGTCGGGTAGCATCGACGAACAGGAGGTCAAGACTACCATCGAGAGTGGTGGGCCACAGGCAATGGCGGGCTTGCCGGACGTGCTGAAGATTCCTCAGGGAGCGCCCGCGAGTGTGAAGGCGCAGTTCGTCGTCCAGCGAGCCAGCGTGGGGCGGTACAACGTGCTGCGCCATTTCATCTTCAAGCACGGTAGCAACCTGAAGCGTGCAGATGCGCACCTGTACACCATGGGCCAGTCGGCGACGTTCCCTGCGGCCGAGGAAAACAACACGTGGGGCCAGCGGAAGAACTTCAACGCGATGCTCGACCGCCTGCCTGGATTCCACGTTCGCCATTTCAGTGTGGCCCGCAAGGAGCATCAAGGGAAGGGGTGGGACCCGACGCCAGAAGAGATCCGCGACGGCTTCGCATACATCCGCGAGCACTACCATGAGATTGCCGGCTCGAGTGCGATCGAAGCTCAGGAGTGGGTGCTGTTGCAGACTAAGGTCCGGTCAAGCGCCTGCTATGGGTGGCCGACTAGCCAGGTCGAGAAGGCGTTGGTGAACATGGACAAGGCATCTGCCTCGGCCGATGTAGACACTTTCTTCCCGCTGACGTCGCACGACCTGCACCCTGTCATCCAGGATATGCTGCTGCCATTGATCTATGCCTTCGCCCCGCTCTCTGGCACCATGGTCCTTGGTGCTCCCGGAGTGGGGAAGACTCCCCTGTGCCAGATCGCAGCCATGGCCTGGGGTCGATACGTGACGCGGAGCAAGGGCATCGACAGAAAGCCTGGCTACCGACGCGGGAAACAGATGGATGTGTTCCGTGACAAAGCGACTCCTGTCTATGAGGGTATACTGCTCGACGATCCGTCTCTGGACCGCATCGATGTGGAGGACCTGAAGGCCTTCGGCACCATCCACACAGCGGGCCATTCTGACGCGAGATACACCCCCCCAAAATGGGCAAAGGGACAGTTTCACGCGCTTCTCAGCAATAGTTGGACTGAAGATGCCGAGCCGCCGCCCTCGGCTGGATTCTTCGTCGACCCGCAGCTCTTCACGAAGATGCTCGAGAAGCCTTTCGGCTACCTCAGCCAATCGCACAGGCTCGCCCTCACCAAGCGGTGCGTTCTGATCGTCGTCGGCCGGCGCGGTCTGTATGTGCGGGCGCCCAGCTCCGACGACGCTGCCCAAATCTTTAAGTTCACCCAGGGCGACGTCGCGTCCGACTTCTTGCTGCCTGGCAACAAGGGCGCCCTGGCCGGGTTCTACCAGGGCATGGACCACGAGGACTGCGTGCACCCAGATTATGCGCTGCACGTCGAAAATGAATACAGTCTCGTATGCGAGGTGCAGGAGGCGGCGCGGCAGAAGACCTCAGAGGAAATCGCCTCGTGGTGGGCGAATCGCACGGCCGACCTTCTATCATCAGCCAGCGCCGCGCCAGCCGCACCTTCGATGCACCACGTTCCCGCAACTGCCGGCGCGCCGGCGTCCGACTCCGGCGGCGTGCGCGTGCGGGCGGATGCTGACGGCCAGTACCGCTTCCGCCTGCCGGCCGCGGGGTCGCTGGCGCCGACAGGCATGTCGCGCCGCGCGTTCCGATACCCTCTCCCCACGAAGCGCGAGCGCGTGGAGGAGTTGGATCCGGCCGACGCACCTGATGGCTCGAGACCGAAGAGGGATCCCGGCAGCGCCGCTGC